GTAAAATAAAGGTGGAACATATGTGTTTTTAGTCATTTATTGAAGATGGCTAAGGACTCAGCTGCTTATATATATATAATTTTAATTAATTAATTTATTTATTTTTGTGTGTGAAAATTGCTTGTGAATAGAATACTATATAAATAGAAACAAAATGTACAAAGCTATAGAAAGCTGTTTGGACACTTGCCTTTGGAGTTTGCCTTTGAATATATTTACATAAAGAGAGTATGGTGGCCAAGTCTAATACTCAGCTCAGTGCACTTGTTCTTGTGGTTAATGAAAATGTTGTCGAAAAACCAGCCTAAAAAAAATAAAAGATCAGCACTGCTTTAGCTTGAGCCAGTCAGTTACCATACATATATGATACAGTGGTAGAAGTGACTCTTTGGGATATTGAATGTCTATTGAGTATGAGTTGGCTTTGAATATGACATATACAAAAATCATGACTGACATCACTGTGGAATGTCACCTCCATCATCATGACATCACTGAAACATTATCCAAAGTGGTATGGGGCTGTAATAGTTGCATGTTTTCATGCTCTTTGTGTGTGTGAGAGAGAGAAAAAGCCCACTCCAGATGTTTGGCATTAGTGATCGTGTTTGAGGAGGATGGACTGGTTTTTAGTGACGCCCACCATCTCCCTCCCCCAATTCCTGTCTGCTGCTGGAACAGGAAATGGGTTTTGGGCTCCGTTCAGCTCCTGTGCTGTGCCTCTGGCTCTCACACAACACACTGTGGTTGTGTGTTTGTCTGTGAGAGGGACAAGAATGCTCCACCGTGTGTGTTCCTGAGCCAGGCTACATGCCTTTCATCTTCGGTTGCTTTCTTGCCCTAAATCGTACACTGTTCTCATACACTTAAAGGGGTAGTTCACCCAAAAATGAAAATGATGTAATTATTATTTAACTTACTGTTGTTTCATGTCTGTGTAATTTAAAAATGAGACATTTTGAAGAATGTGCTTGTCGCTCCACATTTCTGTATATTTATGTCTATATAATCAAGAGAATTATAAAAAACCAGGATGATCACAGAAATAACGTGAAGTAGTTAAGTTAATAATAATTTTAAAAAATCTTATTCTTATACTTATTCTTATGCTTTTTATTTTAGGCAAACATTTTGTTTAAAAAATGTCTTATAAAAACAGAATTCAAAGTCAGTCAGGAATATTCCTTTTCTGATTCTCACATAACCCCTAGCTGTGTGTTTGTCTGGCATGACAGCATTGATTTAAGATGTTCCATCATGTTCAATCTTATGGTGGTTATTAGGGAATTATATAATCTATGCATACTTGTCACTCTTCATATGGGCAGTATCAGAGCAGACTGCATCAGACGAAACAGCCTTCATCTCGGTTGTGTTTGACGTAGGTCAGCAGTTTCTTCTTTGATCAGCTGCAACACAGAAGATATGGACTATTAGCTGAAGTGCTGTGCGCGCGTTTCTGACCTAGCTGTATTTTTGGGACAATATTTCTGAAACTTTCCCTACAACTGAGTATCTTATAGTCATTATAAGTAGAGCTGTGCGATTTGGGGGAAAATATCAAATTGCGTTTTTTTTGACAGATATTGCAATTGCGATTTGATTTGCGATTTTAAATTTGCAAAGTCAAGCTTCAGCTCAATATTGTCAATAATGTGCAGCACAGTATGGGTATCATTACCCTGCTGAAAAAAACAATAGAAACCATCACAGAAATTCTTATAGTTTCCCTTAAACCATTACAAAATTCCTTTTTGTTTTGGGCATTATTCCAATTGGAATTACTGTTGTTCTATTGGTTGCCATCTGCCAGATTACATCCCACCAATAGAATCCATCAAATAGACACCATTATAGTTTACATTAAACCAATACAATTCCCATTATAACCCTGAAATCCATTACATTTGTTATTGTGTTTTGGGAGGGGTTCTATTGTTTTTTTTTTCAGCAGGCAAGATTATAATGGTATAACTACTTTTACAGAATTAACTTAATTACTGAATTTCACAGAAAATATTTGTTTATTTTTTATAATTAAAGAACTGTATTTCTTAAGTCAGTTATTAAAGTATTACATATGTTTCATAGGCTGACTTATTCATTTTAAGTATTTGGGATTTTAAGAACAAGTGGAAAATGTGCTGTTTGTTTAATTTCATCCAAGTGAAATTAGCAAGCAGTTAGACTGAATTTACATTAGTTTTAAACGCTGAGCCAGGTGCGAGTCGACACAGGTTGCGCGCATGCGTCAAGCCTCATCCATACTGCCAGATGCGCTCGTGAAGACTTGCGGAGCGAGTATAAACGAGCATTACGAGACAGGCTGCGTGAGTGCGGCAAGCATGAATGGCTCGTCCGTGACGCGGGATTCGCACCACGCGGGGCAGAGAGGCGCGAGTATGAGAAGCATTCACAGACACAGGCTGTGTGTACACTCTTCTGAATTGGGAATAGCGAACATGCATCATAAACTTATTTCAAATTAATCTGTTGGGGAGATAAAATGTGTAAGATAGCGTTCACGTACTAACAAAAACATCTAAGAATGTATCTTTTATTCTCCAGTACTGAAAACAGAAACGATAAGGGAGCTTTTGATATGCGCTGTGACGCAGCTCTTGCAGATTACCTTTTTTGTTCATTGTCTGTCATTTCGAAGCTTAAGTTGCATACGTTTTTCCATTTGTTCCATTTGTTAATATTATTTCATTGTGTTAGAATGAACTAACAATGAACAATACTTCTAGTACTGCATTTATTGATATTGAAGTTTGTATCTGTTAATGTTAGTCAATGCACTTTGAACTAACATGAACAAATGATGAACAATTGTGTTTTTATTAACTAACATAAACAAAGATTAATAAATGCTGTAAAAATGTGGTCACACTTTATTTTAAGGTCCAATTCTCACTATTAATAAACCATTAACTACAACTTTTGCCTCAATAAACGTCTAATTTGCTGCTTATTAATAGTAAGGTAGTTTTTAAGTTCAGGTAGTTGTTAAGTTCAGGTATTGGGTAGGATTAGGGATGTAAAATATGGTCATGCAGAATATGTACTTTAGAAGTATTAATAAACAGCCAATATGTTAATAATAGGTATGCTAATAAGCAACTAGTTAATAGTGTGAATTGGTCCCTATACTAAAGTGTTCTTTCCTGTAGCTCGAACATTGAAGCATGGCACTATCACAGACAAGGTCATAGGTTCGATTCCCATGAGACTGAGACATTATAGTAAGTTATGAATATTAGCATATCTCACATAATTTGGTGTTGGGGAACTTTGATGAGAAATGTTTGCATTTACCCTTACATTTAGTAATTTAGCAGACGCTTTTATCCAAAGCAACTTACAAATGAGGACAATAGAAGCGATCAAAACCAAATGTTTGAGATATGATACTGAAATCTCAGACTTTTGGTTGCAAAAGTAAGCATTTTGGCAAATCTTGCAGAATATGTACTTTAGAAGTATTAATAAACAGCCAATATGTTAATAATAGGTATGCTAATAAGCAACTAGTTAATAGTGTGAATTGGTCCCTATACTAAAGTGTTCTTTCCTGTAGCTCGAACATTGAAGCATGGCACTATCACAGACAAGGTCATAGGTTCGATTCCCATGAGACTGAGACATTATAGTAAGTTATGAATATTAGCATATCTCACATAATTTGGTGTTGGGGAACTTTGATGAGAAATGTTTGCATTTACCCTTACATTTAGTAATTTAGCAGACGCTTTTATCCAAAGCAACTTACAAATGAGGACAATAGAAGCGATCAAAACCAAATGTTTGAGATATGATACTGAAATCTCAGACTTTTGGTTGCAAAAGTAAGCATTTTGGCAAATCTTTTTGTAACATTGTTGAAATCTCTTCTGAATCTCACATTTGGGGATTACTGGAGTCTTCTTCTCTAAGCAGCAGAAGACTTTAACAAAAGTCCCCATTTGTTCTCCATTTAATCTCATTGCTGTCTAGGAGAGGCAGTTGGCATATTAAAGAGATCTTGTTTGTGATTTTCCTTTTCTTGTGAGGCAATTTCCTCAAAAAACCTCTCCATATTCAGAACTCAGATCTAGGTTATTTTGTTGGCTATATGATTATTTTCAGTTTAAAACAGTTCTTGATGTTTTTCTTCCTAAGTTCTTCAGATCAGTGTATTGGTTCTAGATTCGTTGTAGGTTCTTCTATGGCAGGGATCCTCAAATCTGGCCCACGAGATCCACTTTCCTGCAGAGTTTAGCTCTAACCCTAATCAAACACACCTGAGCATGCTAATCAATGTCTTCAGGATCATTAGAAAATCACAGGTAGCTGAGTTTGATCAGGGTTGGAGCTAAACTCTGCAGCACACTGGCCCTCCAGGGCAAGATTTGAGGAACCCTGTTCTATGGTATTAAGCTCTAAAAAAATTTGAAATCTTTATTTGAATAATATATGGGGAAAGAAGGTAAATCAGGTAAATGTGTATACGTGTTGAAAGAAGCATAAACTGTGACCAACTAATAAGTGCGTCTCAAAGCTTCTAGTATGCACATGGATTGTTTATACAGATGTTGATGGAAACCCATAGTGCTGTGGGTTTTCCCTTTCTTCTTTTCCTCTCTGTTGCCTTTTGCACTCGTTCTCACTATCTCTCTTTCTTTTCCTCCCTCTTTTCATCTTTGTCATTTGGCAGCTGTTTTCACAGTGCAATGTGCTGGAAAGCAAGTCTTTGATATAAGGCCTTGTGTGTGTGTGCGCGCGCAAGATTTCTTCTTTCTGAAATATGATCTTGACTTGCCTCTTTCCCAGCATTCATCTGTGTATTTGTGTGCATGTTTATGTGCGTTTTATTGTTGTTGTTTTCTTCCATGATACTGATTGGATGCACTTTTATGGCACAGGCAGAGAGATGTGCAGTTATGAGCAGCAGTTAACTCCGACTATACATGTTCCTCCCTGTTTTTGCAGCTAAATAAACGTCATTTAATCTAACCAGTCTGCCTGTTTTCTCTCGCCCTCAGTGGGATGTGCTTCACAGAACTGTGCCCTCTGTTTCTGATTTGCACAGTTGGATTATTCAGAAGGTCATATTTACTTCTGTTCTGTGTGGTTTGTTTAGCATTTTATTTTCAGCTGCTAAAACTGTCAGTCAGTGTCTGTGTTGTGTATTTAGTTATTGAAATGATTCTTGATGTTTTCTTTGGTATTTCTGTCTAGTATTATTATTACTATTGACTTAAAGTGACACACACACTGTTAATTCACAAACTAACTGTCTGTTTCTCTGTTTTGCAGGTAGGAACCTCATCTGAATGTGACAAGCACCTCTACCTGCAGAGATACAGGTATATTTGTGTGTGTGTCTGTATGAAAGACAAGTGCGATGTATTTTTCTCAGATGGGTAATTAAAGCCTTCTGAAAATGACTTGCCAAGAATTCTTCAGTTTTCCCTCACATTCCTGCTTGTTTGCTCCTCGTAAAGACTCCAGTGGATTTGAGGGTGTGTGTGTGTGTTATGATTATAGCTGTTGTATCCAGATGCCAAACTCTGTCTGTTCTAAGTGCTGCAGAATTCATTTCTTTAAGTGAAGTTAGCAGTGGAAAAGAACTGAGATATAGTAGTGTATTTCATTCTGTTGTTTAGTGTGTGTAAGCTGGCTGCAGCTCTCTGTGGATGGATTCTGTCCTCTATGAAGTGTCAGTTGCTGCAATAATATTTCGTAACGCACATTCCAGGGAACAATAGCGGGAACCATTTTCCAAACAATAGAGCTTTGAAAGGTTTTATTTTATAGAATGTGAATTACATTATTGTTCTGAAACAAATAGTTCACACGGAATGAAAATTGTCATCACCATCTGCCTTATGTCATTATTTTATTCTCCAGCATAAAATGAAAAGTTAAGCAGGATACAAGAGCTTATCTTTTATACAAGAAAAGCGGTGGTGATTTATACTGCTAACCTCTGAAAAGACAAAAATACTATAAAGGCACTATACAAGTATTCAACATGACTCATATACTGTGTTCCAAGTCTTCTGAAGCCATTCCATAGCATTGTCTGAGAATCAAACAGAAATTAAAAATGTTATTATTTGAAAAGCCGTTTTGGTTAGTTCACCAAAAAATAAAAATTCTATCATTAACCATGGAACCATGATCTATTATCATGGAACCATGTCATTCCAAACCAAAAACACTTGCGTTCGTCTTCGGAAATGAGGCTATTTTTAATAGTCTCTTATCATTTTTTCCATCCATTGAAAGTCCATGCAACCAAAACTGTCATGCATCAAAAAGTACAAAAAACAACAACAAAAAAACGTTGTATAAGCTCTGTGTATGTGTGTTGATCAATGTTTATATATGAATAATAATCTGTTCATCCTATAAAGCAACCATGTCTCATCAGAAAGTTTTTAAACAGGTCAATTCATATAGATTGTTTTTTTTAGTGTATTTTTTTACTTTTTGATGTGTGAACACTTTTGGTTGTGTGGAGTTTAAATGGATAGACAAAATTAATGAAAGAATATTAAAAGTCTTATGGGTTAGGGTGAATAAATAATGACAGAATTTTCATTTTTGTGTAAACTAACCTTTTAAGCACTTTCTAATGATACTTTTTTCATTTGACTGTGATAAGTGTTTAGTAACATTACTGTGTGATCTAATGTAGTATAAAATTGAGCAGATAAAAAATTAATTTGCAATGTCACACTTCATTCCAGCCTAAATGCTTTATGAGCACATTTTACCGAAAACCACACTGTTCATGAAAATCTCCTCTTCATTCTTATGGGTAGTTTTGTAAAGCATGCCTACAGCTGGCAACAGTAACCAAGAGGTGCAGAACTTAGCGGAGGGTCAATTACTGTGGTCAGATTTAATTCATGTACTCAAACACACACACACACACACACACCCTTTCTTTAAGGTCATAAGTGTGGCAACCTCCTGAGTGAGATAGAGATCTCAGGGAGGTTAGCCACCAGTCAGACATCTCTAATTAAAGCTCACCACTCTCTCACACACACTGAACTGCTCTACTTCTGTTTGTTTTCTGGTCTAGGTTATGCATGGATACAAAATGCCAAACTGAATCAAAATCTCAGTGCTTATCTGTCTGTCTTTTACTTTTGTCTCTTTTTTCTCCTGTACTAAAACAAACCCTCTTGTCATTTTTATACAGAATATCTTAATATTTTTCTGCCTTTTTATGATATTCAGTAATCAAAAAAGATTTTTAATATTCATGTATTTGCTCTGAAATTACCTAAAGAGTCACTTTTTCAGTAAGAGTCTTTTTATATTAAAAAAATTTTTTTTCACTAAATGAACAGGAGGAACAAATTCTATTGAACCTATATTATATGAAACGTTTGAACTGATTCATGGAAATCTATTTTTTATTTTAAATAATTACATAATTTATTATTATAATTAATTTTTTTTACTGACATTTAAATGAGAAATGCTCAAGCTGTTAAAAGCCTTTATCTTATCACTCATATAACTCAAGTAATGGGTTATGAAGCTATTCTAACTCTTTAGGAAGTTTAATGGCCAAATAAAAAGTGTTAATACTTGATAAATGACATAGCCCTAGTTATTTTTGGTTTTAATGTTTAGACATGAATGTCCTTTGATCCATGCAGTGAAAAATCATTTCATTCTCATTTACTACCCAGTTAGATGATTCCTCTTGAGATTGAGTGTGTGTTTCTGTTTGTGCCTCCACCCTGACAGTTATTTTTATCATTGTGCTCCAGATGCATATTTCCACCCCATGCTGTTTACACGCACAGCAGGAGATGTCCCAGAAGATACACACACACTCACACATCACTGACCTTAGCTGAGTGAAAATGCATTAAGTAAAAATGTCCATATGCTATCTATTTTCTAATCATCATTTTTTATTGTGTTCAGAATAGATTTCTTGAGTGCTTCCATGGTGATATACACAGCTGGTGCTGATTGGCCAAAACCTTGATGAGGCGCTGATTTTACACCATGGCCCAAAAGGCTTTGTGGAGTTACCCACAATCCTTAGCTCCCTGGTGAGTATGACTGCCTGGTCGAATGGAACATGTGTGTATTAACCTCTGCTGTTACACAGATATGATACTGAAATTTTCTGAAATTTAAGCTATACGTTTGCAATTGTCAATAAATACATAATTACAGCACTGAATTGCTATTGTATGAAGGGTATGACTTCATACTATTTGCATTTTCATGCATGTGTGTTTGTGGATGGTCTATGTTTGTAGATGATGAAAGAAGGTAATTGTATTATTTTTTGGTGCAGATTTACATTGGCAGCGTCTCCGGCTCAACGAGAAAACCTGTACAAGGTCAGACAGCCCTCTGTGTCAGGATATGATTTGTGCAGGACTGCACACTAAAAAAATCTACATTTGCTATTAAAATGAACCTCTTTTGCTAGTTGCCATTTTTTAGAACTGCTCTATAGATGTTGTGTTGATCCAACATATCAACAGTGTTATTTTCAAACATTATCAATTCAGCCTTACAATTGGATTTCACTATGCTAGACAATAACCCATAATATTCAGTAGTAAATTTAAATGTTTTTGGAATATCATTTATTATTTTGGTAACATATTACAACAAAGTCTGATTTGTTAACATTAGTTAATCCATTAACATGAACTAACATTGAGCAATATGTGTTAGTTAATAAAATGTCCATGGTAGTTCACAGTGCATTAACTAATGTTATCAAATATGTTATCAAAATAAGGTGAACATTAACTAAGATTAATAAATGGTGCAAAAGTATTGTTCATGATGAGTCATGATTAGTTAATGTTAACTAATATTAACAAATGAAACCTTGTTGTAAAGAGCCTGCATTAGTTTATTACAGTGAATTTCTTTTGTGAATATGTATCTTTAATTACACGTTGTTATATTAACAAGTCAGTAAATTGACTAATATAAAGTCTGACAAACCTAAAGTACACATTCCCAGTTCTCAGTAAATTTGAAATCAGACACAACTGAAAAATGACTCGCATTTCTCTAACGGAATCAGCTGTGAATTTAGTAACAGCTCTAAATGATTCACTGGATGAGTATGATGCCTGATTCATCACAAGATGTTATTTGATTAAATTAATATGGATGGAGGCATATAAAGTGTTCTCTACTGTTGCCAATGGTGACTAGATTTTAAAATTAAATCTCAAATTTGTATATTTTTTTTGTCGCAGTCTGGAGCCCTGTTTGTATCCATCTGTCTTCATGTAATATGTTGGATTATTGTGTGATTGGATACATCCTCTTTCCTAGTGCATGTGTTGTCTCTATGAATCTTCTCTTTGAGTGTTAGCAAAAATCAGCTCATCTTTTGGCATGAACCTGATTTAATTTTCCACCCAATCGCATCATAGTATGAAGCACTGGGTTGTAAATCAGCTATAATCGCATTCAATTCCCATCAGATTAAGTTGATTTTAAATGTGGTAATCCTGTTTGGTTGCACAGACGCAGCACAGTCTGCAGAGCTGCTTGAGCGAAGACAAATAAGCTTTTCATGAACGTCATTACTGATTCAGTCCCAGTGTCGGATCTATCTGCTGTATTATCATATTTTTATGTTCCTTCACGTTTAATCAAAGAAAATTCTTGGTGATGCACATGTTGATGTTAATTCACATTGCTTAAAATTGGTTTCTTTGACCCCGTTTACATTTAATCTGTCCTGTCGTGTCCTAACCAACAGCGACAAGCCACTTACCCATCTGTCAATCAACCACTGGACAAAAACCAAGAGCTTTAAATTTGACCAAAATGCAGCTTTAGTTTGATAAATCAAATAATGAATAAATTAAAAAATAAAGAATATATTAGAAATATTTGCATACATTTAAAAAAAAAAATGTTTTACATTTTTTTACTTTTTCTCTTGTATTGTTTAAAGCACTGTTTATGTGTGATTTTGACTGCTTTTTCACTTTTTCTAACTTTAGCCATGATGTCAGTCTGCGTGCCCTCGCCACGTAACCCCTCCCCCTCTGTGGACGTAGCCAATCACAACGGGCCCTCTGCAACTCCACCCACTTCCCTCAGCCTGCTTTCCTCACACAATCAACTGCTTAGTGGTGATGTCATCAAACAGGGCCAGGTCACGCCCCCAAAGTGCCGGAAGAAGTACGCACTCACAAGCATTCAGAGTGCGATGGGACTGGGCGAAGGCATGACACCACCTTCGTCATCTTCAGCGACAACTGCCAACCCTAAACTGGCCAAAAATGGTGCAAATCAGTTACGTAAAGCTGCAGAGCGACAGGATCACAACAAGAACACCACCGAAGAAGACGAAGATGGAAACACAGCTGGCGAATCAGAGCTCAACATCGATGATGAGTTGAGGAATGTTGAGGATTTAAGCCTCGACAGCGAGTCTAACGTCGACGACGTTCACAGTGACTTTGACCTGAACAACGAGCTTGTTGACGAGGAAGTAAATGAGTTAATTGATGAGGACACTAATGAGGAGGATCTTGTGGAGAATTGTGATGACCTGCTCATTCTGTCTGAGAAAACGGAGATTGTTTCAGACAGGAAGTCACCCGAGCACCTTAAGACCAAGAGTTGCCTGGAGTCGTGCCTGGATGACCTGTCGTATGAACTGTCTGACGCGCAGGATGAGGATGTCACTAAGCCTTTGCTGGAAAAAGAGAAAAATCCTTGTCCCTTGTCTCCAAGTAAACCGCACAGCCCTGAGGACACGCCCCTCCTGTCTGTCGGCTCTTCATCTTCCTCTTCCTCACCGGAGACGAAAAAAGACCGACCACGGACGGGAGCCAAGACAGACCGGGCACTAAACCGCATCCAGAACCTTCCACACAGTGACGAGGAGTCCAGCTGGACCACGTTGTCACAGGACAGTGCATCACTGGGCTCACCAGAAGAGAGCGGTCAGTAGTACACATTCAAAGTGTTGCGATGCTTGCTGGTCTCCTCAGTGTGGTTTTGTGTGTGTGTGTGTGTGTGTGTGTGTGTGTGTGTGCATGTAATATGTTGGATTATTGTGTGATTGGATACATCCTCTTTCCTAGTGCATGTGTTGTCTCTATGAATCTTCTCTTTGAGTGTTAGCAAAAATCAGCTCATCTTTTGGCATGAACCTGATTTAATTTTCCACCCAATCGCATCATAGTATGAAGCACTGGGTTGTAAATCAGCTATAATCGCATTCAATTCCCATCAGATTAAGTTGATTTTAAATGTGGTAATCCTGTTTGGTTGCACAGACGCAGCACAGTCTGCAGAGCTGCTTGAGCGAAGACAAATAAGCTTTTCATGAACGTCATTACTGATTCAGTCCCAGTGTCGGATCTATCTGCTGTATTATCATATTTTTATGTTCCTTCACGTTTAATCAAAGAAAATTCTTGGTGATGCACATGTTGATGTTAATTCACATTGCTTAAAATTGGTTTCTTTGACCCCGTTTACATTTAATCTGTCCTGTCGTGTCCTAACCAACAGCGACAAGCCACTTACCCATCTGTCAATCAACCACTGGACAAAAACCAAGAGCTTTAAATTTGACCAAAATGCAGCTTTAGTTTGATAAATCAAATAATGAATAAATTAAAAAATAAAGAATATATTAGAAATATTTGCATACATTTAAAAAAAAAAATGTTTTACATTTTTTTACTTTTTCTCTTGTATTGTTTATAGCACTGTTTATGTGTGATTTTGACTGCTTTTTCACTTTTTCTAACTTTAGCCATGATGTCAGTCTGCGTGCCCTCGCCACGTAACCCCTCCCCCTCTGTGGACGTAGCCAATCACAACGGGCCCTCTGCAACTCCACCCACTTCCCTCAGCCTGCTTTCCTCACACAATCAACTGCTTAGTGGTGATGTCATCAAACAGGGCCAGGTCACGCCCCCAAAGTGCCGGAAGAAGTACGCACTCACAAGCATTCAGAGTGCGATGGGACTGGGCGAAGGCATGACACCACCTTCGTCATCTTCAGCGACAACTGCCAACCCTAAACTGGCCAAAAATGGTGCAAATCAGTTACGTAAAGCTGCAGAGCGACAGGATCACAACAAGAACACCACCGAAGAAGACGAAGATGGAAACACAGCTGGCGAATCAGAGCTCAACATCGATGATGAGTTGAGGAATGTTGAGGATTTAAGCCTCGACAGCGAGTCTAACGTCGACGACGTTCACAGTGACTTTGACCTGAACAACGAGCTTGTTGACGAGGAAGTAAATAAGTTAATTGATGAGGACACTAATGAGGAGGATCTTGTGGAGAATTGTGATGACCTGCTCATTCTGTCTGAGAAAACGGAGATTGTTTCAGACAGGAAGTCACCCGAGCACCTTAAGACCAAGAGTTGCCTGGAGTCGTGCCTGGATGACCTGTCGTATGAACTGTCTGACGCGCAGGATGAGGATGTCACTAAGCCTTTGCTGGAAAAAGAGAAAAATCCTTGTCCCTTGTCTCCAAGTAAACCGCACAGCCCTGAGGACACGCCCCTCCTGTCTGTCGGCTCTTCATCTTCCTCTTCCTCACCGGAGACGAAAAAAGACCGACCACGGACGGGAGCCAAGACAGACCGGGCACTAAACCGCATCCAGAACCTTCCACACAGTGACGAGGAGTCCAGCTGGACCACGTTGTCACAGGACAGTGCATCACTGGGTTCACCAGAAGAGAGCGGTCAGTAGTACACATTCAAAGTGTTGCGATGCTTGCTGGTCTCCTCAGTGTGGTTTTGTGTGTGTGTGTGTGTGTGTTTTGGCCCAGTGTAGTGGATATGGTGCACTCATGTGGTATGTGTGGTTTTCAGATTGACTGAAGTGCGTTGGCAGAGAGGTGTTTGTGTGTTTGGACTTTTCACTTCACTGAAGTGTGATCTAGGTAAACGCAGCACAGTGTGTGTCTGGTTTGAGGCTGTGGAGCAAAGCTTGTTAAAAGCATGTTTACTATTGTGTGTACCTTTTGTAATTATAAATTGAAAATGTAGTTTTAAAAAGGTAGAATTCATCCAAAAATTCTAATTGTCATCATTTACTCTCTTTAATGTTATTCCAAAAATAAAACCACAAAATAAGAAGTTGAACAGAATATTCACTCTGCTCTTTTCCATATAATGAAAGTGGACAGTGACAAGTGGCTATCAAGCTCAAGAATGTAGAAATAAAGGTCACAGTTGAGATCTGAGAGTTGCAGTGAGTGATTTTTTGTGACATGAAGGATTAGTTCACCCCAAAATTAAAATTCTGTCATCATTTACTAGCCCTCATGTCATTCCAAACACATACATTAATTTGTCTTGTGAAACACAAATTAAGATATTTTTAAATGAAACCTTCCATTGAAAATCCATTCCACCAAAACTTTAAAGCATCAAAAAGTTTGTGAAGCCATTGTAAAAAATAATCTACATGAATCAAGTGGTTTGTTCCAAGTCTTTTAATGAGACATGATAATTGTTTATAACAGATTTAATTTAGGCTTTTATTGACATGTAAAGATTGATCATTCAACTTACATACACAGAGAACATCAAATATGGTAAACAAAAGCCCAAACATGCTTGCTTGATGAATTTGAACAAAAGTCTTTTGGGTTTGGAATGACATGAGCAAATAAATTATGACAGAATTTTAGTTTTTGGAGGAACTATCCCTTTAAATTGGTCAGTTCCTCATACAAATTTATTGCAAAACTATAACTGCATCTGAAATCACATGCTCTCTGACTAGGTACTTCTTTGCGACCATTAGTATGTTGTATATAGTATGAATGTGTGTAGTGGCTCTGAAATCTGGATGTACTACATCCACCATGTTGCCCTCTCCGTGGTTACTGGTAAGTGTCTAATTTCAGTTGTCGAAATAGATTAGCAGACCTAGATAATGCAACTGTAGCTAACTGTAACCAGTGGCTGAAGTGAAGCATGATGTGTATTTAATCTGTAAAATATTCAGTTGCATATTATTACACAATATGTATGCTTAGACAGAAGAAGACTATAGCTTGACTATGCAGCTGTTGTTATCATAACTGCATGTAAATGTGCTTTTATTGTATGGAAAAGAGCAGCATCAACATTCTTCAAAATATCTCCTTTTGTGTTCCACAGAAGAAAAATACAGGTTTGGAACGACATGAGGGTGCTTAAATCATTTTTATTTGGCTTGCAACCCATGAAGTTTATGCCTAGGATAAATGGTGCAGAGTTTCTTGTGATGAGTCAAAATGGCTGTTTCTGTGGTAATAAGTCTCCTCTCTGCCCCCGGACTGTCACTCAAACCAGACTACCATTGACACAGTGTCTGTCAAAATTTCTCTCACCAGACAGGAAAACCTCACAGGTGTGTGGCAGGTCCGTTCGGCCAGCATGGTGGGTAATGGACAGCTGCAAACTGGTTTTACACCCAGATGTTAGCTGGTATCACCACAGCACACTAACTATTGCACATCCATCCCTCTCCCACCGTTTTTTGTATCTTGTCAAACCAAGGTCACGTGACCATGTGTTAGGTGACACTGCAGGAAAAATTATCTCAGGGTTGCTGGAGTGACCGAGCGCTCGGCAAGGGAGGTGGCTTTGCACGGCCGTGTGACCAATCGAGTGTCCCGGATGGACAGGAAGCTGATATCTCTCTTCCTGCAAGATTTGGACAAAAAATAAACAGCAAATTAACAGAGTCTGTTGCTCTCGCATGCTCACCCACCCCGTCTCTCCCTCTCCCTTTCTCCATCAGTCACTCGCCCCCTCTGTCCCTCTCCCGCTCTGCCTCTGCTTTCCTCTCTCTTCTCATGTCATTCTCTCTGCTTGCGGCTGCTCAGTCATGATGCTGGGTAAAGACTACATGTTGGCCATTGTTATAGTGAATTACGAGGGTAGGTACTGCGCGTCGGTGTGTCTGTGTGGCTGTGAGTCAGTGCTGCGCATGTAGCTACGCATCTCCGTTGCATGTGCATGCTCATAAATGCAGGTGGAGAAGAGAGATAAGGAAGGAGGGAGGATGCAGTGAAGGGTGTCATGAGCTGTGTGCTGAATACTAAAGTTTGTGCATATGTTCATGGCACTTCGGTCCGCGAGTGTGCGTGAATTTTACAGCTGTCCTCCCCTCCCCCTCTGCTCGCCACATGCTTTATAGACTGCAGAAAGAGAGAGACGTTATCAAAAGTGGGTCGAATATTTAGATCTAGGCTGAGGATAGTTACTATATGCTAGCATGCTGTCTACCTGGAAAAAAAATAGCTGAAAAATCCAGACCGTTATTAAACATCAACCTGATTGTTGTCTCTATTTCTTTGTATTTGAATCTGTATAAAGGTTACATTGAACTGTAATGAGGTTTTCAGGCAGCTGTGGTGACCCACTTATATATTAGGGACTATAAGTCCCATAATGCACCTCAGCATGATACCCAGTATTAAAGAACACTACAGTTCCTGTACTGCAGTGCCTCATCGTCTTACTGAAAGAGAACTTGGGTGCAGGAGACGTCTCTAATAAGAACTTGTGTTCACTTTGCATACTGGGAGATTAGATCTGCTGTACATGACTAGTGCTGGCTAATAGCTGTTTCACTCAGTTAGTCAGTTCTATTGGGTAATTATTAAGTCTCATTGAAGCGAGTCATGCCTTAAAGCGACAGTGAGGCTACTCAACTCATGCTTTCTTCCTCAACATGTTATTTACAGGGTTATTATAGTTAACTAAAACTAAATTCATAAAAACATTTTTGTTACTTTAAAGAAAAAAAATCTTAACTGAAATAAAATGAAATTGAAAAAAAATCTTAACTAGCTACTTATTTTATTTCAGCTAGTTGCCAAGGTTCATTTAGTTGAACTTGATCTTGGCTACTAAAATAACTAACTACAACTGAAAGAAAAATGTATAAAAACTATAAAGGTGTTTAAAAAAATAAAAATGACAAAACTCACTAATTACTAATCACTAATTTTCCCCCCGGAAACAGGGGGAAATCATTTAAATATTGATAAAATTACAACAGTGTCTCAGAGATACTAAAACAACACTTGTTACCTGCTCATATTATTTGGTGATTTTATAGAAATTATTTAATTTTACACATTTTTATTGGATTCATATACCGTGTAAATGAAGATTGTTGTCAATAATGTAGTTATGTATGAAACACAGCTCACACAAAAGTCACTTTCAAACCAAGCAGCTGTCTGTTGGTCAAAATCTGCATGTGGATTCCTACTGAAATGAGCTGATTTCCCTTGCAAAAATGTGATGAACAGAAGTAAATCTGACCACATCTTTTCTGATAAAATATCAGAATTTGAATGTTTTCTTTTTACTCAAATCCTTTCGATTGACAGATTACCGTGTATTATCCAGACAAGTTTCCAGGCACAAGTTACTTTTATATTGACAATTAAAGTGAATTCACAGCCAACATTTGTGCCATGTGGAGCGGGATTTTAGACTAATGAGATTTCATTATGGATGGAGCAACCCAGAGTGATTCTCAGTACATCCACCATGTTGACATTGTCCTTTGACCTGTGTGACCTTCAACAAGTCAACAAATTACTATATTACAATTATTATGGTGTTGTTTAAGAACACCATAAGGAACACCTTTCTTAGTACCTATAGCATGTACACTTACACTTTCCTGCATTGTTTTTATGACCTTTTTGAATTGAATAGTTGCTGTGACCTAATGGGATACAAAGTGTCCAGTTTCTGTATAGTTAAGGATCTTAGCAGATGCAATACACAGCTGTATCATGAGTATTCGGTCATCTGTCTCATTTAACATACTGATTTTGC